TAGTTTTTCTCGAGTATTACGTGAATGCGATAATGCCCAATAATTATTTTTAATTAAGTACTTCAAAATATATCAATACATAATTATATAGGAGATGTTTATGCATAGGTAAGTGAATGTTGAATTTGTTTATATTTAAGTCAGTTATTCAAAGTGTATGAATACTAAACTAAATATTTACAATTTTGTAATGACGATAGTCTAAATATTTAGTCTAAAAGTGATAGTCTAAATAAATACTACTTTTGGTTTGAATTTCTCTAAGTCTTCTTAATTCTCTTTTTGGTAGCATTGTCATTGTCTTCATCTTCAGTACTTGTTCTTTTTTTTTTTTTTACTGGCAGTGTCATGTGCAATTGGGTTATTGGTGGTAGCATAAAGGGCAGCGTCACGCAATAAGATTATGGAGTATGAAGTTTTAGAATTTCACTACAAAAAAATGCGGAAATAGCAAAGGACAGATTCCGTCGCTAAATAGGGAAAATGCGTCGCTAAAGTGTTTAGCGACGGAACTCATTCGTCACAAAAATGTGCATCGCTAAAATCTAGCAACACAATTTATTTCCGTCGCTACAGCTAGTGATGAAATATTTTGTCACTAAGCGAAAATAATCCGTCGCTAAATTTCTTCCGCCAACAGATTAGAAAACGAAATTTGTGAGGAACTAATGGCGGAATATTCTGTCGTTAAATCTAGCAAAGGAAATTCCGTCGCTCTACCAACAAAATATCTATTGCTATTTTCCTACCACAACGATCTAGTGATGAAATTTGCAAGGAAATAGCGACGAAATATAGCATAAGAAATTTCCATCGCTATCGCCGTCGCTAAATGTAGCGACGGATATAGTCACTAATTTGTTTTTATTATTTTAATTGAATGTCATTTAGCTACAACATAGTGATGAAAATATCCGTCGCTAAATTTAACTACGAATTTTTCACTCGCTATTTTGTGGCCATTTTTTATTGTTATTAGATACTTAGCTACAGATTTACTACAATATTTGTCCGTTGCTAAATTTTAAAAATTTAAAAAAACAAATCTACCCACTAATTAATATCACATACCAGCATTGGACCTATAATATAATACTTCAATAACATAATTACAAAATATATTATATTAAAGCATTCAAACTCAATAACAAAAACAAAAACATAGCAATGTGTAATGTTACATCGATAAAAACAGTACCAAATATATTAATAAACATAATCTAATCATCTCCTAAGTTTTAAGCATTTTAATTTGCAGAATGCTCATCTTCAATAGTTGGGGGTCGTGGCATAGTAGTGGATAGCATGCCATTGCGACGCATCTCATCCATCAAACTTGTAATCTGAACTTGCATTTGATTTCTTTCAACTTGTAGTTTGGCCTCTATCTCAGCTCACATGGTCTCTAACTATTGGTTCACCATCTCCATTATTGCATCTTGATGAATTGAAGTTGTGAAGTAGCATAATAACTATAGCTATTCTGTTTGATAAATGAGGATGCCTTAGTCCCTAAGCCATAAATATGCTATTTTTTTATCCCACCAACAACATCCACACACAGTTGGTGGCTCAGTTAACCCTACAGATTCTTGCGTTGCAGCTTCATATCGTGCTTGTATTTCTTCATACAATTAAAAACAAATACAAAATAAAAGAAGCATACAAAGGCATATAAGAATTTTATCTATTTAACAATATATGATTGTTACGTTATACTTACAGCGATTCTGTTTAACATCTCATCAACGAACGTACCATTCTTCTTTTTGTGCATATGCTCAAAGCACTCAAATAGAATTTGAAGTTCATCTAACTATTAAACAAGAACAAACAATAAAATGATACCTAATTTCTAAAATACATACCAATAACAAATTTTTAAGTTAAATGTATTACCAATTTGTAATAGTGCTCAATAGCTGATGTAGATCCTTCGCTATGTCGAGAACATCCTGTACCAGGTCCTGCCACCTCACTTATCTTATTCTTGCGCTGTTGTTCAGATTTAGCTTTCGCGTCATGCCTATCCAAAATATGCCTCCCAAATGCGCCATGTTTCTTCATGTACATAGGCTGGCCTCCCAGTTGAAGTCCGTTTCGCCTTGAATTTTGATACCATATTTGTATAGCGTATGCTTGCTTGTGCTAAAAAAGCTTTGTGAACTTGCCTGTCAATCGACTCTTCCCACTTGTAAAATTTCTGTGTATATGACTGTGATCTTAGTAGTGCAATGAACTCTTTATCTTGCAAGCACCTGTTGATATTTGACAGTATTAGTTTTTCCCCATACATGTTTCATGTGTTGTGAGATGTGTGTCGTATGTGGATTCTCATGTGAAAGTATTGAACAAAATATTAGTATTTATTATATTTGTAGAAGGTTCATGAGTCGTACCTCTTAACTTGTTTTAGTTCCATAAGTTGTTTACTTGATAGTAACAACAATGACTCTCCAGGTGGTCCGAATACTAAGAGTTTTTTTTTGTCAAAGGTTGATACTGATTTTGCCTTTAATCCAAACGTGTTGAGTCTAAAAAATGAAATGAATTATAAATTTATATTAGTTCTAATATATTTAAAGGATGCAGAATAACTATTTTACATACAAGATCAATGAATGCTGCAATGGTGACTATATTTGAAATTAAATTTCATTTTCTAAATTTACAAGATTGATTGCAACATTATTGTAGTCTCATCATCTTTTCGATACTTCAAGTATGTCACGATGTTCTATTTCCCTACATTGACATTTTTAATAATGAATATTAAATGTAGATACATAACTACATAAGATAATGATCTAAATACCATTTAACTATTATTATCAACATAAAAACATATCGGTCCCATTTCAAACAAAAAAAAAAAAAAACATACCAGTCCATTAAGTGTTCTGCTCGAGGTACTTTTGGTTCAACCATTATTGTTGAATGAGTTGTTGTGGATAGAGAAATTTTGAGTTTTTTTAAGGAATAAAATTTGATAAGGTAGTAAAAACTTAATACATTTGAAATCATCTTAATGAAGAAATATGATTTACCTTTAAATGAACAACTGTGATATAATCTAGAGATATTACGGGAAAATTTCTCGCTTCAATTTCTTAGATTATTTGAATACCCTCTTTGTCAGCAAATCCTCCCCAAGTAGTTAATATGATTAATTGACTTCAAACTATTTTATATTTTTTTGCATGGTATTATTAAAATATTTGGTAAATAAATATATAACATATTTTGTATTATAACTTTGATATTTAATTAGAAGATAGTGTAAAAAAGACAATGAACGATGTAGTGAATATAATTAATATTAATGAATTTGAAGGTAAGAAATCTTTGCATTGTAGAAAATAAAGATAATATAACTAATGAAATTATATTTATTTTTAAATTTTTTTGATAATAAATATTTTTTTTTTTGAATAATGGCATTATGGACATTTAATTCTAAATTAAAGGGATATAAATGTTTTACTTTTTATTGTAACTTCTAATTTATTTAATTTAATAATAATAAAAATGAAGTCATTGATTTTTTTTTTAATTTTTTATTTCCATTCGTTGTTGATAAAATTGTTTTGTGAGTTTGTCAATGACAATTATTGGAGTGGCTGGGAAAATTTCTATAAGAAGTGTCTTTGCATACTAACCCACAAAATAAATGCAACGGCTAGGTAAGTAATACAACATGGAACTCCGTCAAATGTTTAAGAAGATCCTCTCCTAGAAGTCCATCAACCCTGACCTAAGGTCTAAAGCAACATCCAACTCTGGATACAAAATACAGAATGGTTGATTGTCAAAATTTGGTACTGCCAAATTCCTTAAGGTGATGTTGGCATTATTGTTTGCAGTATCAAGCATCCCGATCCCCGTCCCATCAAATAATTTTAATGCAAATAAGAATATTAATATGTAATTATAAAATGTCATCAACACATCCATTCCCACACTTGTTCTTATATTCTCTAGTTTATTTTATAGCTTTCATTCCTTCACAAGACAAATTAAATATTTTTTTAATCTACTTTTTATGAATCATTATATTTAATTAATGCAGTATATATACAAGTTTATATTATACTTCTTTGTATTCGAATTAATTTAGAAAATCTTAAAGTTGATCTAACTAAAATAAATTAAAATTATAAAGTATTTATGAATATATATAGTGTTTTATGTTTTATATTTTGTCATAAATATTTTCACATTTTCACCCAATTCAAATATATTTTTGGCTCAAACCCTAAAGATCATGTAATCTATCAAAAATGTTTTTTTTTTTTTTTTGTTTTTTGTTTTTTGTTTTTTGTTTTTTGTTTTTTTTTTTGTTTTGTTTGTTTTTTTTTGTTTTTTTTTTTTTTGTTTTTGTAATTTTTAATGTATTTTATATTTTAACCTTATTATGATTGTTTGATATTTTGTTATTGACCACATTTCTAACGTCATTTAAACTTTGCCCCTACTCAGATAATTTTTTGAATCCGTCCCGGTATAAATACAATACAAGCACTCTAGAACGATATAATAATAATAATAATAATAATAATAATAATAATAATAATAATAATAATAATAATAATAATAATAATAATAATAGTAATAATAATAATAATAATAATAATAGTAATAATAATAATAATATTGTCCGTGTTGTTGTTATAAGAATCGGGGTAGGGTGGGGTATTTCCATCCCCCGGCCTCGTTCCCCGAATTTTTCCTCATCCCCATTCCCGTTGTAATAAAGAACGTGAATCCGCATCAAGAACATGAGAAATTTACATTGCAATTAATTTTGTCTAATTTGATACTTGGAACAATAGATATGTCATTAATTATCTTTCTATTATAATTTGTGTCAATGCAAAGGGATATGAAATAGGACTTCATATTTGTTTTTTATCAACTTTACTGGAAAATACAAAACAGCATAAAATTAAAAAAACATGAGACAACATTAAAGAAATTTGCAAAATCTTTAAGGATTTTGATTACTGAGTGCTAGGACCTGGTCTCCCCTGAGTTGGGTCATTCTGATTACTGTCATTCATAAAAGACCAATTCTGATAACTCCACGCGGTTACAGGATTAAGACTGGCAGACATGGGAGTTTGTATACCCACCGTGCCTTGATAGCTTTGCCCGGAAAACACATCCGCTGGAGCAAGCACATTGCTAGTCCCAGACCCAAGAACAGGAGGTGACGCTGTTGCAAGAGAAGGAGCAGCAGGGAGAAAAGGAGCGGGAGTTGGGGAATGTCTTTCAAACCTCATAACACTTTCAGCGATATTCGTGTTTAAAACCCACCCCAGATCGTTTAATTCTACGGAACTCAGATAATCAATTATCTGTTCTCCGCTAAAAATCTTATGCATCAGTGCATTCATCTCCTTTTCCCTGTTTTCTCGCTTCAATTTTAGAAGCAGAGTGCCCAACTTTTCAAGCCTTTCCGCAAGAAAGCTGTCCTGGCTCATCATTCGCCGCGTTTGTTGCACGTCCGGCAATTGCATGAACCTGGCAATCAGCTCTTGAACCCTTTCACCAGTAGGCCATATCACTGGCCCCTGCTCAAACGAGCTATACATTATCATGGCAGCATCCGCATCACAAAGAACGGTGAGCTCGTTAAGCTTTTTGACCACCCCTCTCTTTCTTTTGTGGTAGGATGCTTTTCTTTTTGATTGATTCACAATATATGCCAATCGTAATATCCCCCTTGCCATGATATTAATTCGAAATGAGAAAAGAGGAACGAGAAGCTAAGTGCTCAAGATCGATTATATTTGTGGTTTTTTAATCTTTATCGATCTTGTGTGGGCTATTATGTATGCTGATATGATACCATATTTATAGGGCCATATATATGACGAAAATTGAATAAATTATTGATTTTTTTTTACAGTAATGTTACAGCCTGTCACGAATATTTTTTTTCCTAATATACATTATATAACTTATTATGGTTTTTATTGGATTTTTACTATTTAATGATTAAGAGAATTATATTCTATATTAAGAGTGATGCAAAATGCTCTCATTTTAAATTTACTTCTTAATATTATCATCTTATTTTAGTTTCATTTTTTTTGTCACATGTGGTAGCTAGGTCATTCTTGAAAAATAATAAATATAAATATTTTAATGCAATGTGTAGTGGATTTAAACATTAGAATTAATATATATTTGCAAGTTAAAAAAACATATTTATTTCTTCGATTAATTTCTTATGAGGGTTAGGCAATTCAATGAAAACAATGAAAATAAAGAATATTCGTTTAATGTTATTATCAACTTCCTAAAAGGGTAGAAAATATCACAATTGGAGATATTGATTTGTAATTAATTGCTATTACGTCCAATTAGTTAATTTTTTTTTTAAATTATTGTTATTAGGTCAATTTTGATTGTCTTTAGTTATATTCTTTAGTTTTAAATTTGCTTACTATGTGTAAAAAATAATAGTTTTTTTTTTTATTTATGTTTGTGTATATGGACATACACTAGCAATGTTATTATATAAGTGTGTGTGTGTGTGTTTGTGTGTGTGTGTTTGTGTGTGTGTGTGTGTGTGTGTGTGTGTGTGTGTTTATTTATTTATTTATTTATTTATATATGTGCAAAATTGAATAAATTATTTTTTTATAGTAATGTTACATCCTGTCACGAATATTTTTTCCTAACATACATTATATGACTTATTATGGTTATTTTATTGAATTTTTACTATTTAATGATTGAGAGAATTATATTCTATATTAAGAGTGATGCAAATTGTTCTCATTTAAAATTTACTTCTTAATATTATCATCTTGACGTGCAATTACTTATTTTAATTTTATTTTTTTTTATCACATGTGGTAGCTTGGTCAATTCTTGACAAATAATAAATATAAATATTTTAATGCAATGTGTAGTGGATTTAAACATTAAAATTAATATATATTTGCAAGCTAAAAAAAACATATTTATTTCTTCGATTAATTTCTTATGACGGTTAGGCAATTCAATGGAAACAATGAAAATAAAGAATATTCGTTTAATGTTATTATCAACTTCCTAAAAGAGTTGAAAATATCACAAATGGAGATATCGATTTGTAATTAATTGCTATTACGTCCAATTAGTTATTTTTTTTTTTAAATTGTTGTTATTAGGTCAATTTTGATTGTCTTTAGCTATATTCCTTACTTTTAAATTTTAATTGCAATGAGTAAAAAATAATAGTTTTTTATTTTTTTATATATTTTTTTTTTTATATTTGTGTATATGGACATACACTTGCAATGTTATTATATAAAACAGTTTATTGTGATTATATATATATATATATATATATATATATATATATATATATATATATATATATATATATATATATATATATATATATATATATATCTGTGTGTGTGTGTGTGTAGGTATGTATATTTATTTATTTATTTGTATATGAGGAAAATTGAATAATTTTTTTTTTATAGTAATGTCACACCTAGTCACGAATATTTATTCCTAAAATACATTATAGGAATAAGGTTCAAATTGGTCACTGCACGTAACCTGAAAATGCAATTAGGCCACTGAACCAAAAAAAGTGCAATTAGGTCACTGAATACTCAAAAAAGTGAAATTAGGCCACTGAACACTCCAAAGGTATGCAATTTCGCCAGATAGCAGGTTACCATCATTTTAGCAAGTTACCTGCTTACATGGCAACTAAGTTGGCATTTTTAATAATTTTTAAATAATTTTTAATAAATTTTAATAATAAAATTTAAAAAATTGAAAAAGAAATTAAATAAAAAAACATAACGACGGGGTGGCCAGGGGCCATCCCGTCGTTTTAAAAAAAAAATTAAAAATTTATTAAAAATTATTAAAAATGCCAACTCAGTTGCCATGTAAGCAGGTAACCTGCTAAAATTGATGGTAACCTGCTATCAGGTGAAATTGCATACATTTGGAGTGTTCAGTGGCCTAATTGCACTTTTTTTTTTTTTTCGTTCAGTGACCTAATTACATATTCAAGTTACGTTCAGTGGTCATTTTGAACCTTATTCCTACGTTATATGATTTATTATGGTTATTTTATTTGATTTTTACTATTTAATGATTAAGAGAATTATATTCTATATTAAGAGTTATACAAAATGTTCTCATTTTAAATTTACTTCTTAATATTATCATCTTGACGTGCAATTACTTATTTTAGTTTCGTTTTTTTTATCACATGTGGCAGCTAGGTCAATTCTTGACAAATAATAAATATAAATATTTTAATGCAATGTGTAGTGGATTTAAACATTATAATATATATTTGGAAGCTAAAAAAAGCATATTTATTTCTTTGATTAATTTCTTATGAGTGTTAGGCAAATGAGAGGATAATTTTGTGTATTCAATTCACAGATGGAAATACAGAGATAGGAAAGGAATAAAATTTTTTCCTAACTAATCCTATACATTAGGCTAGTAGTTAAGTCTAAGTTAATTACAACCATACAAATATGACATCACTTATACAAATATAATATCACTAATACACCCCCTCAAACACAAGGTGGGTGTGACACACCATTGAGCTTGTCCCTCAGAGAACCAAACCGAGCTGCCGGCAGTGGTTTTGTGGAGATGGAAATTTAATATTCAAGGGACTAGAAGTTGTCTAATTCTTTAGTCAACCATGAGTACCTTTCGCTTTGTGATTTTTACCTAGCCTTTTGTCTTCCAAGCCTTTTAGTAAGGGTAAACATGTCCTTTCACACATGATTGGCGTTCAAGCTTGCTCTAGCAAGACACATTTCATTCATCCTCTTGCTAGCCAATATCCTAAACTCTCTACCTTCTCCCTAAGAAAAGTTGGCTTATCCTCCAAGCTAAAAGAAGAACACCCCATCCTAGCATGCAAAGAATCATCCCAAGACTCCACCTTTCCATCTCCAAAGCTTAGGAATGGTTAAGATCTAAAGTTATTTAGTGTTTTTAGTTAGCTGCGCTTTAAGGTGCCTTTATGTAAGATTGGTGTTTTCTTGTGGTTTGGCTTGTGTAAGAAGGTTGTGAGGAAGAAGAGCTTCAAAGTAGGGCCTAGGAGGGTTAGAGGAAAGAAGATTTTTGGTCTTCAAAGGAAACCCATGCTATACAAAACCTATTTTCTACTTGCTATTGACGATTCTTGATGATTGTGAGTGATTTGATGCATGATCTTGTGATAATGCATGTTTAGAGCTTGTATCTAGGTTTCTTGAATGTTGTTCTTTGATCTATTCTTGGGCTCAAGTCATTTCCTTGTTGTATGTGAGATTTGGGGTGTTTTGGACCTGAGCTTGACCTTGGAGATGAATTTTCCCGAAGGGAATTAACTGTTGCACAGGTGTTCCCCACAGGCGGATGTCCACCCGCCGCCCCACCCGCGGGTGGAGAGTTGTACCTGGCGGGAGGTACCACAGGTAGGGACCTACCCGTGGTTCCACCCGCGGGGTACACTCCCGGTGGAATGTTGGGTGTTGTTTTTCCCGTGGTTCCATCTTTTGATATGTGATGTTTTGACCTCCTTTGTTGGATTGTTGAGCTTTTGTGTGTCTCCTTGATGTTTCGTATGTCTAAAACGATGTTCTAAGTATCCATGTAAGGATTTGGTGTCTTGAATCGTGCTTATGGTCCAACCTTGTGATTCGTTGAATGAATGTGAGTCTTTGAGGTTCGTTGGAACCATTTTGGTTTACCCGTTTGATGAGTATGCTAGATATGATGTCGTTGATGCTAGTAATTGTTGTTTGTCCTTCCTATTGAGGATTGGCAACTCATGTTGCCAATCATGTCGTTAGTGGATTGAAGTCCATGGTTATCGTTGAGCATCGTTTCATGTCATTCATTGAAACCTGTTGATTGGATTCCTTGATGTGATCTTGTACCAATGTCGTACTGCATTGATTATTCCGTAGATAAGCTATTGATTGAGCTTATCCGTTGTTGTACACACTTTCTGTGGAATCTATGCTTTGTTGTATCTCTAGATTCCGTGTGTATTGACTCTTATTGAGATGTTGGAATGGATGTGATGAGATGATTGAGCTGGTAAAGTGGACAGTGTGGGGACTTATGGGTGAACTGATCCAGTAGTGGGTTTAAAGCTCCGGATTGCCGTTTGGATACTTATGATTTGTGGGCAACTTGGGAAACCCATTCCAGTTTCCAGAAATAGTAACTAACCCGTTGGGCTTGGAATCTCAATAGGGGGTGTATACACTTAAAGTTGCTAGATATGTTTCCATTGGACTTCGGTCCTAGTCATTGCAATGACTCTGTGATATGTGATTGATGAGTTGGAGTCCTCTACACTGGTCTGCTATGATTCGGGTCGTTGAGATGACCCTATGATGAATGCTTCGGTTTGACTATGTCCTATGTGGGCTTGGAACATGTTGTGAGTATGAATCTCGCCTTATGGCTTATGAGCATGTCTATGATGAACTCTACCTTGAGTTTGGTAGGTTGCATCTAGTGTTGAGTATGTTGCTTGTTGTCCTTGTTGACTTGCTGAGTATGGTTGTCTTTGGTCTTTGTTGAGATTGTTGATGAGTGTATTGATGTTCCCTCTCTTGGTATTAAAATGATATATACTGTATTCCTCTGTCTCAAATGGTTTTGCTTATATCAATATATTATGTTACTTAACGCGTATTGGTGGGTTATCAGCATCTTTCGCTGACGGGTGTTATCCCTATCTCTTTACAGGTTTTGAGTAGCTTTGGAGAGCGCGCTAGTAGACAGTAGTAGCCTAGTGTAGCTCCTTATGCTTTTCTAGTTGTTTATGGCCTGTGAGCCTAGTTAGTTTAACCGTTAGCTGCTGTGGTTTGTTTAGTAGTTTGTCGGTGCACCTATGTTTGATATAGGTGTGGCATAACACCTCCGTGTTTAGACGTTGATTCCGTTGTTTAATGATTAATGTTTAGTTTTATGTCTCTTGTTTAAGCTTTTAAATTTTGGTAAAATCGGGGGTGTTACATAACTGCATAAGAGAGATCTGGTCGGGTTATGGTCAGATACAGTACTGCACGGGCTAGTCGGCGATATTGAGTAGGATTCTCGAAGGGTTCAATTGAAGGAGACGTGGCTTGCATTAGAGCCGCTGGAGTGGCTAGCGACTTGCAATCAGACATACCCGCCATGTTTAAAACATCTTCCATATAATGATGCTGAGAGAGAAGCAAGCCGCCCTCCACAGGCAGAGTTTCAATGCTAAGAAAGAAATTGGGCGTGCCTAAGTCCCTTATCTTGAAGGCAGATGAGAGACGGAGTAGGAGCGAGTCAAGTAGGCCTGAATCATTATCCATCATGATGATGCCATCTACGTATACAAGCAGGAAGACTCGGGAGGTGCGATCTGAGTACTGAAAAAGTGATATGTCGGTTTTGGATGTCGAAAACCCTGTAGTCAGTAAAAAATGGTGTAGACGTTTGAATCAGGCCCGAGGTGCTTGCTTCAAGCCATATAAGGACCGCTGGAGAGATGACATACATGGTCAGGATGTGCTGGGTCCTCATAGTTGGGGGCCTGTCACATGTACACGGTTTCTGCCAAGTGCCCATTACGGATGGCATTGTGGACATCCAATTGCCGTAGAGTTCATCCCCCGGAAACTGCAAAAGAAAACAACAGGTGTATTATAGTGGGTTTGACTACAGGATTAAAGGTGTCAAAGAAATCTTCTCTAGCTACTTGGTTGAACCCTTTGGCCACCAAGCGCGCTTTATAGTGCTCAACTGACCCATCTGCCTTACGTTTGGTGCGGTACACCCACTTGAAGCCAATTATATTCATGCCCGGTTTGGGTGAGGTGAGGCGCCAGGTGCTATTGTGCATTAGGGCATTGAACTCTTGGTCCATGGCATCACGTCACCGAGGATCGCCCACTGCCTGGGAATAGCATGTGGGATCAACTGATGCCGTGAGAGCATGAAAATGCTCATCAGTTCCTCGTGTCATGTGACGAAGCCGCATGACATGAGCCCGCTCCAATGATTGAGTACGCGGACCACGCTGTCTTGTTGGATTAGCCAGAGGTGGACCTTGGGATAGTAAAGGGGCTTACACTGTAAAATCGAGCTACCGTCGTCAAGCGAGTTTACAACATGATGATAGGCCTTGGAAGGTACTTTGGAATGCCAATGTACCACCAAAGGTCAAAGCCTTCACTTGGCAGTTGGCATCATCTTATTTACCAACCCGGGATGCTCTTAGGAGGAAACATGTTGATTGTAATTTGTTGTGCCACATGTGCAGGAAGGAGGAGGAGGAGTCAGCTTTACATATCTTTGCGACTTGTCCAGAAGCTATGCGAGCTTACCATGCGGTTGGCTTACCTATTACATATGTGCCGGGTAATGTAGTGCATGAGTGGTTCTTTGGCTGTCTTTCTATGTTACGTGCTGATTTGATTCCCAAATTTATAATGGTATGCTGGGGGATTTGGTGTAGTAGGAACGCCTGTGTTTGGAGAGGGGCTGCTTTTGATTTAATGCTGATGGTGCATCATGCTCTACTTTTCTTGGATAACTGGTTGGCAGGTAATGAGAGTACCATCTTACCTGCTGTACCATCACGCCAGGTTGAACGCTGGAACAAGTCGCAAGCTGGGCGGTTAAAATTGAATACAGACGCCGCTATAAATCAGACAAGTAACACCATGGGCTATGGCTGGGTTGTTAGGGATGATAATCGTTTATTCCTAGCAGCGAAGAGTATGTCCGTGCCCGGGATTTACGATGTGAAAGTGGCTGAAGCTATGAGTATGCGGGAGGCGTTGAGTTGGTTCAAAAATACGGGAATGGGAGGGGTGGATGTGGAAACAGATTCGCATGCAGCTCCTGTTTAATGCTCTTTCTGGTTCTTCCTTTGACTCTGCTTTCGGTTTGATTGCAGGAGATTTAAAAGAATTCGCATCATCTTTGTTGGATGTTAATTTTAGTTTTGTCAAACGATCTGTGAATCGTGCAGCCCACATTGTTGCTAGGGAGGCCGTTTCTGAGTCAGGTTACGGGGAGTGGCTAGATGTTCCATTGACTCTCTTCAATAAAGCTCCTTAATTAGTTAAAAATCTTTTTTTTCCTATATAAAATTTTGGGTTCGTCCCAGTTTGTACAAATGATCAAATGTATCTATATTTTTGGAATATATATAAATGTTATACTAATTTTAAATTAAATAAAAAGTTGAACAATACATTTTCTCAATAAATCATTTAATAATTTAAGAAATTAGCATACTAAATTGAATTAATAAAATTAGAAAAAAAAAATAAGTTAATTTTTTACTAAATTCGCATATCTATTAATATTCACTTGCCATACTCGTCACTCCTATAGAAATATATATACCCTCACCCATACCCCCATTTTCATATCACTCTCGTTTTCACACACTTTCAATATCAGTAATATTTTCTCAGACCATATTATATACTTTACATAGATCTATCGTATATGCATGCATACACTTTACATAGATCATATTGAACTTTGATTATTGTATTTACATATCATGTAGAAATTTGTAATCAGTTTTAAGTTTTAATGTGTGTGTATGTATCATTTGCTATGAACAGATCAAACAGGCAATCAATTGACTGAGGATGGCTATGAACAAGAAGGTGGTGGTGTTCATCATGGGAGCCACCGGATCGGGAAAATCGAAGCTATCTGTCAGCCTAGCCGCCCACATTGGAGGAGAGATAATCAACTCCCACAAGATTCAGGTTTACAGAGGGCCGATGAAGAATACACTGCCCGCTACTTTTGCTTCCAGGCCACATCGGTGATCGAGCGAATCATCAACTCCGGCAAGGTTCCGATCGTTGTGGGAGGGTCAAATTCTTTCATTGAAGCCCTGGTGGAGGACCCTGACTTCAACTTCAAGTCCAACTACCACGGCCGCTTCATTTGGCTTGATGTTTCTCCAAATGTTTTGAACACTTTTGTGTCCAAACGAGTTGACCAAATGGTTAATCAAGGTAACTTAAATTCATTTCTACATAGAATCATCAAAACGAACTTATATAACTGGTCAGACTAATTTGGTTAACTGGTCTATTTGCATGACTCTATAAAAGAGATCATGCATAATTTTTGTTTGGTGTACTAATTATATGCATGTAGGTCTGGTTGAGGAGGTACGAGGAATCTTTGCTCCCGACAAAGATTACACAAAGGGTATCCGAAGAGCCATCGGAGTTCCTGAAATGGACAAGTATCTGAGAGCTGAAGCCAGCAAAGACATGTCCGAGGCTGAGAAGAAGGCGCTGCTTGAATCCGCCATTGCTGAAATCAAGACCAACACCATAGGCTTAATCGGCCGTCAAGTAGGCAAAATCTGGCGGCTGAGGGACGAGTTGGGATGGCCCATTCACTGCCTCAATCCCACCGTCGTGTTCCAAATCGAAGGTGATAAACAGGCTCAGGAAGCAGCATGGTTGAAGATGGTTTTCAACCCCAGCTTGAACATCCTGCAACAATACCTTAAAAGCGAATGATTAATTTCCTAATGTCTTTCAAATAAATTAATTCCATTTTGGATTTGGGCATGTCTTTAAAAGAATTAATTATTTTATTTTTTTTAAAGAAATTCCCAAATTAGATGGAATGTTTAATTTTTATTTATGCTAGTCATTAGACATGAAAACTTGAGTTTCAATGTGCTCTTTTGCATTAATCGTGTTTCTATGAATAAAACGCAAGTTAAATTAAATAATTTTTCTCCATATATATATAGTACTACTAGTTTTTCTCGAGTATTACGTGAATGCGATAATGCCCAATAATTATTTTTAATTAAGTACTTCAAAATATATCAATACATAATTATATAGGAGATGTTTATGCATAGGTAAGTGAATGTTGAATTTGTTTATATTTAAGTCAGTTATTCAAAGTGTATGAATACTAAACTAAATATTTACAACTTTGTAATGACGATAGTCTAAATATTTAGTCTAAAAGTGATAGTCTAAATAAATACTACTTTTGGTTTGAATTTCTCTAAGTCTTCTTAATTCTCTTTTTGGTAGCATTGTCATTGTCTTCATCTTCAGTACTTGTTCTTTTTTTTTTTTTTTACTGGCAGTGTCATGTGCAATTGGGTTATTGGTGGTAGCATAAAGGGCAGCGTCACGCAATGAGATTATGGAGTATGAAGTTTTAGAATTTCAATACAAAAAAATGCAGAAATAGCAAAGGACAGATTCCGTCGCTAAATAGGGAAAATGCGCCGCTAAAGTGTTTAGCGACGGAACTCATTCGTCACAAAAATGTGCATCGCTAAAATCTAGCAACACAATTTATTTCCGTCGCTACAGTTAGTGATGAAATATTTTGTCACTAAGCGAAAATAATCCGTCGCTAAATTTCTTCCGCCAACAGATTAGAAAACGAAATTTGTGAGGAACTAATGGCGGAATATTCTGTCGTTAAATCTAGCAAAGGAAATTCCGTCGCTCTACCAACAAAATATCTATTGCTATTTTCCTACCACAACGATCTAGTGATGAAATTTGCAAGGAAATAGCGACGAAATATAGCATAAGAAATTTCCATCGCTATCGCCGTCGCTAAATGTAGCGACGGATATAGTCACTAATTTGTTTTTATTATTTTAATTGAATGCCATTTAGCTATAACATAGTGATGAAAATATCCGTCGCTAAATTTAACTACGGATTTTTCACTCGCTATTTTGTGGCCATTTTTTATTGTTATTAGATACTTAGCTACAGATTTACTACAATATTTGTCCGTCGCTAAATTTTAAAAATTTAAAAAACAAATCTACCCACTAATTAATATCACATACCAGCATTGGACCTATAATATAATACTTCAATAACATAATTACAAAATATATTATATTAAAGCATTCAAACTCAATAACAAAAACAAAAACATAGCAATGTGTAATGTTTCATCGATAAAAACAGTACCAAATATATTTATAAACATAATCTAATCATCTCCTAAGTTTTAAGCATTTTAATTTGCAGAATGCTCATCTTCAATAGTTGGGGGTCGTGGCATAGAAGTGGATAGCATGCCATTGCGACGCATCTCATCCATCAAACTTGTAATCTGAACTTGCATTTGATTTCTTTCAACTTTTAGTTTGGCCTCTATCTCAGCTCACATGGTCTCTAACTATTGGTTCACCATCTCCATCATTGCATCTTGATGAATTGAAGTTGTGAAGTAGCATAATAACTATAGCTATTCTGTTTGATAAATGAGGATGCCTTAGTCCCTAAGCCATAAATATGCTATTTTTTTACCCCACCAACAACATCCACACACAGTTGGTGGCTCAGTTAACCCTACAGATTCTTGCGTTGCAGCTTCATATCGTGCTTGTATTTCTTCATACAATTAAAAACATATACAAAATAAAAGAAGCATACAAAGGCATATAAGAATTTTATCTATTTAACAATATATGATTGTTACGTTATACTTACAGCGATTCTGTTTAACATCTCATCAACGAACGTACCATTCTTCTTTTTGTGCATATGCTCAAAGCACTCAAATAGAATTTGAAGTTCATCTAACTATTAAACAAGAACAAACAATAAATTAAAATGATACCTAATTTCTAAAATACATACCAATAACAAATTTTTAAGTTAAATGAATTACCAATTTGTAATAGTGCTCAATAGCTGATGTAGATCCTTCGCTATGTCGAGAACATCCTGTACCAGGTCCTGCCACCTCACTTATCTTATTCTTGCGCTGTTGTTCAGATTTAGCTTTCGCGTCATGCCTATCCCTAATATGCCTCCCAAATGCGCCATGTTTCTTCATGTACATAGGTTGGCCTCCCAGTTGAAGTCCGTTTCGCCTTGAATTTTGATACCATATTTGTATAGCGTATGCTTGCTTGTGCTAAAAAAGCTTTGTGAACTTGCCTGTCAATCGACTCTTCCCACTTGTAAAATTTCTATGTATATGACTGTGATCTTAGTAGTGCAATGAACTCTTTATCTTGCAAGCACCTGTTGATATTTGACAGTATTAGTTTTTCCCCATACATGTTTCATGTGTTGTGAGATGTGTGTCGTATGTGGATTCTCATGTGAAAGTATTGAACAAAATATTAGTATTTATTATATTTGTAGAAGGTTCATGAGTCGTACCTCTTAGCTTGTTTTAGTTCCATAAGTTGTTTACTTGATAGTAACAACAATGACTCTCCAGGTGGTCCGAATACTAAGAGTTTTTTTTTTGTCAAAGGTTGATACTGATTTTGCCTTTAATCCAAACGTGTTGAGTCTAAAAAATGAAATGAATTATAAATTTATATTAGTTCTAATATATTTAAAGGATGCAGAATAACTATTTTACATACAAGATCAATGAATGCTGCAATGGTGACTATATTTGAAATTAAATTTCATTTTCTAAATTTACAAGATTGATTGCAACATTATTGTAGTCTCATCATCTTTTCGATGCTTCAAGTATGTCACGATGTTCTATTTCCCTACATTGACATTTTTAATAATGAATATTAAATGTAGATACATAAGATAATGATCTGAATACCATTTAACTATTATTATCAACATAAAAACATATCGGTCCCCTTTCAAACAAAAAAAAATAAACATACCAGTCCATTAAGTGTTCTGCTCGAGGTACTTTTGGTTCAACCATTATTGTTGAATGAGTTGTTGTGGATAGAGAAATTTTGAGTTTTTTTAAGGAATAAAATTTGATAAGGTAGTAAAAACTTAATACATTTGAAATCATCTTAATGAAGAAATATGATTTACCTTTAAATGAACAACTGTGATATAATCTAGAGATATTACGGGAAAATTTCTCGCTTCAA